TATGTCTCACATAATAAAAGGTGAGAAGTCTTAAATACTCAATTGAGGATCCTTGATTATTATTCCTCGAGAGGATTTATGGCGTCTTAATCAAAAGAGATATACAGAGGATGAAAAACTTCAACACATAGGTGCGAGAAGTTGAAAATAAAAACCGAAATTTCATTCTGAACGATTAGACACGATATTTTTGAACAAAATGCATACAGCATAAAGTATGTGGGATTTCATTGAAGAAAGATGCATACATGTATATCAAATAAATCTCATGGAAACCTGAATGTTTGACTTAGTCTTTTAAAATGTATGCATATATGAAATTGAAGTCTTTGCTAGCTGTGTGTCGGCGTTTTTAGTAGAAATGAGGTTGAAGTCATATATAAGGTAAAAAAAAAATCAGTAACACCTTAAGAAAATCTTTTTTGTAACACGAAAGAAACTTCAAAAATTATGATTAAACAAATGAATCAAATTGTAGGTTTTTAACGCCTTTGCAATAAAGTTTTAGCAACATCGCATAACCACGAATTTTAAACATTTGGTAAAAAATTAATAAAATGTGAATTAATGGCAGCATTAAAATCATACCAATAAAATATTTAATGCATTCAAATTTATGGCGTTGTTGCCATATTTTCGGCTTCTGTCTTATCCCTAAAAAATATATAATTCAAACAAAAGGCAATTCCTGTTTTACCTTTTGTAGCTCATTCTGATTGCTTCTTACTTCACTTTTTATTCTAGTTATGTCTTATTTTTATTTTGATACGTAATTGTAGCAATTAAAATGTATTAGGGGTCGCTTTAATATTGATGTCTTTATTATTAAACAAGATTTTGACAAAATTTATTTTGTGACTGGTTCTCTATATGAAGGAGGGTCTATTTGACCGCCAAAATGTTAAACATAATAGCTCAACGACCCCTAAAATATCTTAAAACTCAACGTAGAGAACTGTAATGTCTGTTGTGATAGGTTTTACATCCAGAATTGATTTTTGTAAATATTTATTCTAGCATTGGCATATTCCATGCTTTCTGTTGTTCTTTTGACTGAAACTTTTCACTTCATCTTGATAATACAAATCTGTAAGAAGTTTGCAGCATGCATGCATACAGGATTGTTATACCTAACAAAAACAATTGCTTTTAATAATTAATTAAGAAAAAAAATTTACATGAATTAAATTTCTCATTCTTCCTCTGGCATTTGATTGTAAACATACATACTGTAAATGTAAATAAAATCTCGTTGAATCTCATCTTATTACAAGAAAGGAAATGCGTATTCCATGCATAAAAGTATAAACATTACTTATGTTTCAATATAACATGAAAGTAGAAGATTTCTCGAATTTCAAATTTGATTACAAGCCAACGAACGCATGCCAAGTAATTTAAAAATAAATTTCAAATTTCCAAGAAAGACTTTTAATCAGCTTGATTAAGAAAAATTAGAAAGCACATGAATCATGAATAGGATAAATTATCTTTTGTTTTATGGAACTGGAAGATTAAAATATAACAATAAAGTCAGTACATTCTTTGTCATAAAAGATACATAATACGAAGCAAACAGCTGGCAGTTAATGCATTAAATTGCTTTGAACATACCTTTTTTATTTCATAGGTTCGCATATGTTTGAGAATCAGTGTTGCTATACAGAAATTGATTTTTTGGGCAAATCCTTGGAGTTTTTTTTTTCGAAGAATAACGAATCAATCGACCGCAGGAACTAATGTGGAAAGGTCTCCACAAAGAACAACTTTAAAGCCATTATGCTAAGTTAGTAGTCTTGGTACCTTTTCTGACAAAGAACTGTGATTACAGCTTGTTCACTCGTGCCGTCTAGTCAATAAAGCAGTTAAGATTTACAAACGGAAAGTTAGCTTTTCGTCTATAATTCCATTAATCTAGGTTCTTTGAAATCAGCACATAAATAACAAGACCATCTCTGATGCAACTTATCACAGTTTGTATAAAGAATATTCCCATACTGTTGCCAACAGATGTACTTGATTAAATTTGCGAAAATTTACATGATATCATTTTACTATTCAATTACTTTAGCATAACAATTGGCATAAACACGCTTCAAAAAATAGCTCAAAAATTTTACCAAGCCAAGACGAAGAAGAAAACAGGGAATCGCATATGACACACGAAGAATGTTGAGAATTTACATTTACGAGGAATTTTATGTGAGAAAATTTCATACATCGTTGCCACCACATTGATTCTTTGTTGTCATGAAGAATTTACGCTGGATGAAATGTTTATTAATTACTTTAGACTAATTACAGTGTCGTGGAAATCAGCATCACATATTATTATTTAAAAGTATTAGATGCTGCACTAGTTAAAATCGAAAACCAATTAACACAATTAGCTACGAAAAAAAAAGCTTAATTAAATTCATATTTTACTAATTAGATGATCAATTTAGATTAAAGCAAAGCAAGAGATTCAATTAACAGCAACAGCAGCATCGGCAATCGAGTTTAAACCAAAGTAGAATATTGTTTGATGACCGTGAAATAAAAGCGGTTGTTTGCGTGTGTATCACTATATGAAATGTAAGTAATGAATTACTCAATGATGCGAGGCTTATTCTCATACGAAAGTAATATCTTATTTGCGAGAGAGCGATGCGGAGATAATGAATTGATCTATCTATTTGGAGTAATTTGCACGTACATATAAAGTAGGAAATCATTCGTATCTTGTCACAAATCGTTATTCTACTCTAATTTTGGCTTGCCGAAGACGACGTGTTAATGGAATGAAAGAAAAAGCTTGTAGGAACAAAAACATGTGTTATGTAATATTTCGTGGTTTCGCTTAATTCCATTTGTGAATTGGGAGATTGTACATGAACGAAATTTGAATTTTTTTGTACCACAAAGACAGCTTAATAACGTGAAATTCTTTGAGATATAAAGAGCATAATTTAAGGTACACGAATTTCGAACATCAATCTTTAAAGACTTATGCAAAAAAAAAGTTAAAAGAGAAAACGGTACACAAAAATCGAATGTTAATTCGTGAAGTTAAAAGATCATGAAGCAGGGTTGGAATCTGCGATTTGGTGAAATGTGAACCAGATAAACAGTTGATTCACAGTTCTGCAGATATTTACGGCCTGTTTAAATAACGTGGATTATCCTCGATTTCGGATTATCCACTTAAATTTTTTGTAAATATCTTAAACTTAATAGGAGGTGTGGTATTTCTTATATTGGATTATAATAGAGTGAACTATGCCTGAAATTTCTGTATACTTTAAACTTTTGCTTTTCCTTAAGAAGTATTAATTATTCAATTTTCTAGTAGATTAACTTCGATTTTTGCTTTAATTCTCAAACTAATGAAGATATAAAAATTCTAAGTATATGTTAATTTAAGTAGCAAAATACTCTTACTAGATCACACATTAGATCTCTTAAAAACCTTAAGCGTCTGGAGATATTTCCAAAAAACTGAAGTAGATATTCCGAAATCGAGGATAATCCACTTTAGTGAAACAGGCCGTTAAAGTAGTCAGTCTCATACATTTTTAATTTTAAGGATGGATTCTATTATTTTTCAAGCAAATCTCAATCTTGAGTCTAGAGTCTCTTAAAGTTCCTACGTCCCTATATATGGCATGACCACAACCCTGTCTCTTGAAGTAGCATTTCGACATGAAATTTTTTGAAAAAGAAAATAAAAATGTTAGACAAGATTTTATTTATCTCACGTTGAGATATACTTCATTCTTTCTTTTTTTCCACTTCTTTTTCGTTTCTTTGGTTACTGACTGTTGCGATAAAAATAAAACATAACAAAAATGCAGATGCTGTCTATACATTTGTGTATTATTTATGATAAATGCAATATGTATATCTACATACATGTAAAGTGTGTATTAGAGAAATTCGTATACTAAATAGAAAATTATTGTAAACATTTATAGTCATCTGAGGGATAGACGAGAATGCGTGTTTGTTTGTATAACTTAAAATTTTCGGGGAAAATCGTACAGCGGAAATGAAATTTTGTTTCTTGAGTCGATGAAGAGTCGGGTTTTGTTTGTTAAATGAATACTTTTCAATTCATTAACATTTTGCTGAAAACGCCAGACTAATTCCATTGGCGTCATTCCAAAATGACGTTCAGTTTTTATCTTAAAAAATTAATCAATTTTTCAACTCTAAAATTGGCAACTTAATGGAAATAGAGGGTTATTGGGAAATTTGAGTCTTTTAATCAAAATTTCTGATTCACGTCATTTACAAATAAGCCCATTGAAATTCAAACATCGTGCGAATAGTTTCGTATACGGTTGAGTCAGTCCACCTAATTTCATTGCTAACCCATTTTCCAATTCCTTTTTGTGCTTTTTGTTTTTAGTCCTTCTTGTTATTTTATGAAAATTAGCAATTTTATGTAAATACACGACTTTCAGAATAGAAAAAGCACAGGAAGTCAAAAGCAGGCTAAATAACAGATTGTTTCACGAAAGGATTTCATTAAGAACGATAGTATTACGCAATGGGTTGAACCATAAATAATTCAATGTGAACATAACTAAAACAAATATTTATATTTTGGTACAAATTGTTCTTTATCGCCAGAAGTGCCAATGAATCGTGTTTCAGCACTAAAGTCCTGAATAAATCGACAAAGAAGAAAATCCGTTATTTTTTGAGAAGAGATTAACAGTATTTTTTTACTGCTAGATGCTGTCTATTTGTGGACTTCTAGATGGAACAAGACTAGTTCCGCTTAATTTCGATTTTTTAATGGATGTCTCCAAAGTATATTAATCAGAACAAATTGAGCTATAAAGTGGAAATTCGATGGTCGTACAACTTCCAGACCACCCTAATAACATTTCTTAATCCTTTTTCAGGAGAGCTTAAAATCAATTGACATGACATTTCCATGAAAAATGAAGTTTAGGCTTATGAGGAAATGCTGAATGTAAAATTTAATAATAAAAAAATTTTCAACTCACCTTCATGTCATTTATAATCTGCTGAAACAGACTACCCAGCGTTATGTCAGCAACCTTTTCAATACTGATATCCATGTTAGAATCGTATTTTTATGTTGATCGAGGTAAATAAAATTATTAAAGTTTTCACTATTAATCCACAGAAGAAGAAACCTTTTTTTTTTGTAGTACACTAGAAAATTTTTTATGCTTTCTTTTTTTCTTATATCAGCCTACACTCATTCATTCACTTATTATTTTTTATATTTTCTTAATTTTATACTTTTTTTTCCTCTTTTCTTTTTATTAATGTCGTGTAACTTTTCATGCACTTACAAGTGACTGAAAGACGATATCTTTTTCTTTCTATGTAATATCACTAAATTTAAACATTCACAACTATGATTTTCACTTCTCTAAATTATAAAGGTGGAAAAATGAAGATGTAATAAATCCACACTTTTTAAAAAATCTTCTTGTCAACTCCTTTTTCGGGTGGCTCAGACCTAAAAATTATAAAGGTAGAAAATGTTATGGACTTGAAATTAATTTAGTGTAAATTTCGCATTTTAATTCGTTTCCAGAGCAGACCGAATGTCATAAATGAGAAGAGGAAATTTAAATCATAAAAGTGACGAAGGAATATCGAAGAAACCCATAATAAATTGAGGCATGCTTTTTGATATTTTGGCAGACATTCAAAATTTATTGTGGTTCCCCGCATTTCATTTTGATATAAGAGATATACTAAATCAAAAGGGCAGCAGCCAACAAAGTCGGAAGACATATCTGACACAAAAAAAAAATGTTTGAGCATAGAAATCTAGCATTAAAGTCAGCGGTTGTGGTATAGTTTTGGTTATTTTTGAGCGCATATATCACATTACTAGCAAACTTGAAAGTGCAACGGTTTTTAAAGTAAGCAAAAAAGTAAACTTTTAAAAAAATAACGAATTATTCAAAATGTTTCAAAGCAGTACAAACTATTTGAATACGATTTGTGAGGTTTTGGTTTAAAAGATCGTTATATTTGGCAAAGTGAACCTTTGGAGTTCATGGATTCATAGAAAAATAGCAATAAATATAATTTCTCGCACTAAGCTGATTGGAAAATTGTTAGAAATAGAAAAGAGGATCGAATTAGCGTACACAACTATTAATGGGCGATAAGTAGCTAGCATATATGATGCTCCAAATTCATACACACAAAATTGTAATTATCGTGAATCGAGTCGAGAATAGAGATTGAGATTTGTTCCACACAATTTACTATTCATTTACTGTTCATAACAAATGAATCGTTTTCGATCTATAAATAAAGAATCCATTATAATATTTGAATTTTTCACGAAATGTTTTCGAACAACAAGCAGCAGAGTAAAAAATAAAAAATAAAGAGTTGGAAAGAAGAATAACATTTCACATCATCACTAGACCGTAATGCTTACTCTTGATGAAGAAATGTGTTGCCATAAAAAAATCAATATAATTGGTGCGGAAACAAAAATGCATGTCTAGATCATTGCTTAATTTTGTATTTTCAACTGACCAAGTGTGCATAATTTTTAATAAATTGTTGATAACGAGAAATCTTGAAGCACCATCGCGATCGTGCTGGCTAGTAGAAGTAGAATTCACCGTTATAAGCTTACTTCTTCGCTATCCTTTCCTACTCTACACGTTCATTCATGCTGTACTTTTCTTTCATAATTCCAACGATTTGCTATGAGCTGATAGTAAGCAAGAGAGAGATTCACAATAGAAAGGTATTCATCATAAATCTGCACGTTTGTGTCCAGAAGCATAATTTTATGAAATTATTATGATATCAATGAGCCATTCGTGAGTCATGCTTTGAACTTTAATCGATGCTGTACACATTGATACAAAATTAAACAAACTTAGTAAATTGTTTGAAGTCAATATTTGAATTTATGTGATTCTTTTCTTCTCTAGTTTAGGTACTGCCTTACTGCTTTATTTTTTAATTCCGTGTCTAATTTCACTGTATGATTACGAGAGAAGTACTCGAATTAAGCAGTTTTGCACTAATCAGAAATAAATTGTTGCGAAAATAATGGAGTTATAGACACAGACTAAGCAGGCGAGCAAGTAAGGCTTAAATATAGGTTCATTGACGTACAAAAGTAGCTTTGAGCATAAATCCTTTGCGTTGTTGCCAGTTTATGTTACAATTGGTTTTTAACATTGAAATTAGAAATAGGGGATGTTGCGTAAAAAATTACCATCTTAGTTTCGTCGTCTGCAATGCATTTTTATCGATTATTTTTGTTCTTATCGTGTGTGCGATGCCGAAAATAATCATCGACTGGATGTGTATGAAAACCTTTGATAAAATTTAATTACGCTATAAAACTACTATCATTTACCATATTATTGTCACTGGCTCTAGTTGTAGATTAATAAAAGAGCGTTTTTATGAGGAAAAAGTGAAGCCGTGAGCAGGGGAAAGAAAATCAATTTTCCTCTATATATACAGCCATTTTTCAGATCTGAAGTTAAGCTTCTTCCGAATTTTTTTACTTTGTTGTGTCGCCGACCGACTGAATAGCTTACATAACGAATTAATATGAGTTAAAATGCGAAATTTTGTATGCTCAAGAATATTTTCATCTAGTATTTTTAGAATGTATTTTTTGCCACTTACTTTTTATTTAATTTTTCTTTCTTTTTTGACTTTCAAAAAAATATTTTTTATTCACTTTATATTCATCATGAATTTCCTATTATTTTAATCACATTTCTTCAAAAATGCACATTGTTATCAATCCTTTTTGAGTTATTAACACATTCTTGTTAGAATTCACTTGTTAAGTTATTAATTACTTTAAATGCCAAACAAAAAAATATTTAATTCATAATCGAACAAAATTATGAACCGAACTCGATCAAAGCAAAACATACACTGACTCAAATATCAAATAAAGAGACTACTGAGAGAGAATTACAGTGAAAAAGTTAATATTACTCACTTACTTCTTAATAGACCAAAGTGCATTTGATCTGTGATACTTGTGGATATATGCTTTATATTTGACAAGTAGACAGAATTTCAACAGTATTCGTTGTTCTAGAAAAATATGTTAAAACTGCTGCCAACTTCAGCTCCTTTTGATTTATTTACCTATGCTGCTTTAATGCAAAGCATAAAATACATAAAATACTTATAAGATTCTAATGATGCTAGTCTAATATGAAAATTATTTAATGCTTTAATTAATGAAATAAACTTGAATTTAAAATTTGACTAACATTGCTTAGTTTATTTTTGAATATAATTTGACAGTTAATGCTCATAATTTCAATTGAACAATCATAACATAAACATTGTAAGGAACTGAATAGAATTATTAAATAACTCTGTGAAAACTGCAACTAGAAGTTTTATAACAACAGGAATAAGTAGCTTAAGTATTTAGAATTCATAAAAAGCTACTGTCAAAGGATTTAACATCATTAAAGCTGAAATTCATAATTAAGTGCTGTAAACAAAAAAAAAAACAGTATGTCAGTTTCGAAATATCAGCTATACGAAAACATCCATAAACATTTAAAACCACCTAGTGACTCAGGAGTAACATGTTTAACTACAGAGAATTACGATTATTATCATTATTGCTGCGATGGAATCAATGATGTTGGTTTTGGATGTGGCTATCGTACAGTTCAGTCAATATGTTCTATGCTGAAAAAGAAGCTCAACTCAGATAAGTCAGTTCCTTCAATACTTGACATTCAAAAGATACTAGTGAGAATCGGAGATAAAGACGAGAGATTTCTTAATAGTCGTAGCTGGATTGGAACATTGGAAGGATCCTACATAATCGATGAATTGTTTAATATTCCGTGCTACATTATCCACATTTCACATGACAAGAAAATTTCATCTAAAAGCTCTGACATTATGAAATATTTCAAAGAACAAGGCGGTTTAATATTTATGGGAGGTGACAGCGATGCTACTGCAAAAATGATAACTGGAATTCACAAAGCACAAGATGATAAATTGTTCCTTCAAGTTGTTGATCCGCATTTTAGTCAAATACCGAAAAATCCTCAAGAGATTGTCAACAAAGGCTATGTGAAATGGTATGCTGAAAGTGACGACTTCCTTGAGAATTCATTCTACAACTTGTGCATGCCTAAATTAAAATGAATAACCGTTATGTTGAGAAATTTGAATTTTTCCCGCACTTTACATAAGTTCTGTAAATAACACAATTCAAATATAAAAAACCCGTTAAAAATTAAAAACATATATTTTCTAGGTTTAATCGTTTTTTCAAAGAATAAGAATTTTTTATTAGGTTCAATTTAGGATTTTTTTTCAGTTAAGGATGTCAACAATTTCTTAGAAAATATACTTTATACATACAATTTTATTCTCCTTGTTAAACCGTCAGTTTTTATGCATTAATAATGCTTTTCATTATTATATCATAGAGGCATATTGTGCAAAAGAACTTGTCATTAGTTGAAAACATTAAAAATACTTAGTAGGGCGCAAACGTTTAAAAAGATAATGCAAGTGTGTGTGCTTTGGTCTCTTTTCGGATCGAAGATATTGCGTTGCTTTTTTATAACCTTTTTTTTTGTCAAATTACTTGATATGTGAATAATTTATACATAACTTTAATTTTTTTAAATAGATGAACTATAATCAACTCCTATAACTTGTTTTTGGAATGGAGGAAGAAAGCTAGATTTTTTAAATATGTTTTTTTTTAATTAATTTAATTCCGAAAGATCTTTTGAGTAAGACTTCTTAATTTTTTTTTTTGTTTTGCTTAAAAAAACGTTGAAAAGTCGTGTTTTAATCATTAACATCATTAAAATATCCTATTATCTCATCAATATTATCATTAGTATTCTTTTTAAAGAGGAAGATGCAGGCATTCACTACGATACTTAATAATTAAATTAAAAGATAACATTAGTGCCATTTAAATATTAATATTTTTTATGTATAATTTGCTTTCGAAGCTTGTAAGCATTGTAGAAGTTTTTCTATTGATATCAATTATTATCATTTTTTGTGGTAAAATCTTTTAACTTAATAATACATTAAAAGTTAATAGCAAAGAAAAGGAAAGTGTTATTCGTTTATATGAAATTATATCTCGTTATTACAATCATCAGAAAGTAATGGTTAATTGCACTATCTCTGTTCTAAGGTCAGTCTATGAGAAAGTGGATTCAAGTATATCCATCCTTCGCCCGCGCTCTTGAAATGCTGTAGAAAAATAAATAAAATTTTGATCATAGTTTCAATCTTAGTCTCAGGATTAAAATTTAAATCCATGATTTATTCATGGATTAAACTTTTAATCTCACGATTAGTCCCAGGATAAACAAATCCGAACGCAAATTTATGACATTTGTCATCACATGCACATAATATGATTTATATCCGTAATACTTACAGTATTTGCCCACGCCGCATTCTCGTCTTTCCTCAATTTCGCCTCTTCTCGTTGCTTCTGTTCCACTCTAAATTTTGCTGCCGTCGCTAGATCTATATCATTCGATCTGCAAATATAATTAAATAACATAATCAACTCAAGTTTTATTGAATTAAAAAAGATAGCAATTCCTTTACTTTAACCCTGCAGTCACTTCCTTCCAAATTCGTCTGCTCTCATTTTCATCTTGCTCATTTACAGAGCGTACTTGCTTCTTATATATTGGTATTCTATTTACATCCACAAACACTTCTGGCTTTGTTTTAGTACCGTCATTATATTTGGCTTCCATTAAGCCACTCCATTCACCATAAATTGATAAAAAGGATTTCTTTTCATTTGGAGAATAAACTTCACCTTGTATTCTATTTCGTTTGCCACCATAGAAGGGCTTGGTAAGGAAATCTATCTCAGCATGATAGCCCGTTTTGGGACATTTTATTGTGACATTTCCTCCTAATTCTGGAAGTGATATAAATTAACAATTATGCAAATTCAATTCTTACAAAAAAAAAATGAACAGCTTACCTATCCATGGAACACTGAGTATCGAACGACCATAGCCGTTTGGAAAAGTAAGGATATACTCTTCATTTAAATCACATAAAGTTACGATTCCTTGCCCAATATTGTGAACTCCAATCGAAAGTCCCAAAAATTTGGATTTTGTCCAGACATGAGCACTAAAGCTAATCTTTTTACTGTAATGCTCGGCATAAAAGGCAGAAACTGAATTTAAATACAATTAAAATTAACATTCTTAATAGTCATTAACGTTAAATTTCTTACTTGGAGGATGGTGTGAGACTTGCTCTGCAATAAATGTTAATTGGTCCGATTTACACCACGGAATCGGACCTTCGTCAACTACATTCGTATTATCTTGAATTTCTGAAACAAATAAAAAAAGAAATTGTTTGAAATCAATCAGCTTGAATCGAGGGTTTGACAATGATTCAGCAAAATCATATAAAATATTCAATCACTTCTTAAAGAAATGCCTTAAATTAGCGGAACTGGAGAATCGAAAATCGAAAAAATATTTACAGTTATTTTTTAAATATTTTGTGACCGTTATTTCGGAACTGACAAGTAGCAAAGTTTAAAAATCATCAATAACTCACCATATTCAGGAATGTTCCAATGACAGCGGAAAATTTCACCAATAATTGGATTGTAAGGTTTTTTGGCGACAGCACTTTTACGTCCTGCATGATAAGCTGATAAATACCATCTCACAACTTGTAGCATTCGTTCGCGCGGATCTTTATGTTCCGCAATTTTAATAAATAAATCTGGATGTGCAAAATAGTCGGCATACATTTCGAGTAGGGAACGCCTTTCTAAGATAAATGTTGGCAATACTACTTTCGTTAAATCCATTCCTATTTTTACTTGAGATAAGAGATGAGTAATTACTGATCCATGTGATTCCATCGACAAGTCGCTATCAGATTCATCTTCATATATTGCTATAAATAAGTTGCGTTAATTAAAAAAGATTAATACTAATGAAATTTAATATATCTTCATTACCGTCATAATCAAGCGAGCCATCATTTCTTAACGGAAGGGATTTTGAGTTTCTTTTTCGATGTCCTACATCCTTTATTGGTGATTCAATGCTATCTTGTTTCTTTAAGGACGTTGGTGTACTTGTATTTGTGCTCGTGTTGTCATTCGCTGTGACAAACGGGTCGTCAGATAGTCTCGATATCGGTTCAACTATAGTTCGATTATGGCTATAAAAAAATAATAAAGTGAAAATGTATATTAAATAGATAAGGATAATCAAGAAAAGGTTTGAATTAATTACTGACAATAAGCTTGTGTCTTGTCTGACAAACGGAATTCACACATATATTGTATTGTTCAAGGACGGCACAAAAAAATGAACGAGCATGAAGTTTCTCTTCATTAAAACATCACATGAGCAGGATTTTCATTTATATGTGACGAATAATGAATAGTCACATGAAAAGTCACATATCGTGTTGAATTTCAATCATTATTTTGTTTGTTCAAGCGAATGTTTAAGGATTGCTTTCTACTTTTGATACAAAAGTTCTCAAGGAAATTTCAAAATTTCCCAAAAATTTGAATCCAAAAGTTTTTTAAGATCAACATTAAATCCTAGGATTAAAATTCAATTATCATCATTTCTTATTTTCAAGGATTTATCGGATTATTCTATATATAGCACAAAATTCATCACATTATCAAGACAAAAGCGAACTCACAACAATCGTTGGTAAAATACGATAAAAAGCGTGCAAAAATGGAACAAATTCACATCTCCATTGTAAAGTTTGATAGCATTAATAGAAGAATCTTTTCTGCTTCTTCTTTTTGTGTAAAATTTATGTGAATTGACATGTTCATTTGTACCCAAAAATTATTTATTCATTACAATACATCCATCAGAACTGCCGAATCTATTTGCTGCGAACCATCGTCAAATTTTGTGACTGTATTTAAATTACTTTCATTATTATATATGACGTAAATTAAGAATCTCAGTAGTACGATTAAGGAAGCCCACATTATGTCTCAGGGATATTAATGGACTATATTAAGGGGTGGATTCTGGGAGGGAGTAAGTTCCAATTTTCAAAGATTCCCATCAAGTTGCTCACGTTCAGATAAATGAGATCTTTTAATATGCAAATGCCATTGAAACGACGATAAATATGCACAGCTATTATCATAGAAATAGTATGTGAGAAAAAAGTTTGTCGCCATTGAGAAACTTTACTCATTCTCTTATCCTTTAGTTGCCAAATTTCTTTCGAAACATTTTATTGTACGTCTTCAACTTTTGCTTTTTTGATGTATACACAATTATTTTTATTTTATTTTATTTCATTATTCACGGCATTATATTGATTAATTTAAATTCTACCACATTGTGAAAATTTGCCGTATTTGTTTTCCGTTCCTACCACAACAAATTTTTCTTTCCGCAGCATAAACGTTGGGAGAGAGATGGAGATATTTATTATATTCACTGCATGCATACTACTCAATTCCCTCTATAGAATGGGTTTTTTCCTTCTCTTCCTTTGAATCATTTTCCATAATAGATTTTTTTTTGTTTGACTCACTTTTCTCATGATTTGGAGAAGAAGAAAAAACCCAAGAATCCTTTTATGCTTTTTTGTATGAAGTAAAACATTACGAAATACGTACATTGAAATGTTTATTGTACCCATTTAGACTCAATAATGTTTGAGTGATTTTATGGGAACACGTTCAATTCATGAAAGTTGTTTATAAAATCAATGCACATTGCGCATTTTAACCGGTCTGATCAATAAGTTGTGATTTAATAGCTTTAATTTATTAGTTTTGAGAAGTTTGAATTCAACGGTTTATTTGAATTTTACTTAAACTTACTTGAAGTTGGCTTCAAAATTTACTATTTGAAAATTCAAGTTCGAAATGACAGTTAAAAATCAAAGTGAAATTTAGCTTTTTTTTTTTGAAATTTGAATGGATTAGCTTGAAGTTGGTTTCAAAATAACTTTATATGATTCAAATTTAGAACTTTCTTTATATCATTTTTAAAACTCAACGGTTTTTAATAATTTAAATGAACTAACTTGACGTTGGCTTCAAAATAAATTTTTGAATATTTCAATTATAAAAGTCACGTTTAAATTTTTATAATAAACTGACTCATAATGGCTAACTTAGCTATCCAAACTGATCGAATCATTACTCATGTGCATTGAAAAAGTGTCCCAAAAGTGAAAGGAGTAATGTAGAACATAATCAATAATGTATGTAGTTAATAACAATATCCATTGGAACCATTAATCACATGAACAAAACTTGTATATAATAATCAATATAATTTTCCAGTTCTCTATGCCTTCTCACCTTTGATCAACTGAAGCAGCAGTTGAACTCCGTCGACGAACAAATCGCTCAAAAACTCGAATCATTTTAATTTTTGTTCCTTTTAATTTAGCGCAATATTTTTTTTTCTTTTTAAATAAGTTTTATAGGTCTTCCACTAGATTTTCATTGTACTGTTGTTGTTTCATATGAAATATCATTTTTCATTAACTAAGCTAATCACGACACAAACACACAATACGTTAATAAAAATTATATAAAGATTTTATAGTATATAAATAACAAAAAAAAGTGAACGAGACAAGAGGAAAAATGAAAATTATTATTTTTTTCTCTTTTTTTGTGTCGATGCCGAGGAAAAATTATTTTTTTGGTGTGAAATTTTCAAAAGCTCGAGAAAAACTGAGAAGAAATTTTTGATATTCATGTTTGATTGCAGCATTCGACATTCAACATTCAAAACATCCGTTTTTTGTGAATCATTTAAAGTATGCATGCTGTGGCATTGGAATCTTAACTGAATAATAGTTTAAACAACTCATTTTAATTATTTGTATCACACAATTTTTAATTTTAATGATTTTTATAGGAAATTCTAAAAATCTATTCAATCACATGTATAATGTTTTAATGCTGAGAAAAAACATTAAACAGGATTTGTTTGTTTCCATAAAACATTGTCTAATGACGTCATGCTAATTTTTCTCATGTTTTAGAAGAACAACAAACTTCCAACATATGTATATATGCTTAAAGTGTAAATTACTTGACGTAAATGTATGGATACATATTAAGAAAATGGAAAACTATTAAAGGATACTAAAGCATACGACAATGAACTTATTATGCTCAACATTTCTGCTTCTTATTTTCATATTTCTTCTTTGAAAATTTCATAGAAATGATTTAATGTTGTGATTGCTGTTCTTATGGCTGCTCGTCTGCTCTTTTGTATTTTAATAAATTTTAGCTTTAATCCATTGACTGGCACCGTCGATTCTTCTTTTAAAGTCGTTTTAATGATCAGGAAATAAGCGAAGCTGAAAATATGTGCTGCATAAATTGTCTAAGCTTCACTACTGCCTTAATAGTTTAGATTAGATATTTTATAATCAGTTCAATTGTTTGTCATTGACAAGCACAGACAATAAGGCAGTGCATCTTGCACTTATTCAAATCACAACATACTAATTCTGTCGAATTATTTGCTCTGAATTTGAATCAGGGGTGTACTCACGGATGCTTTTCGTGTTTTCAACTTTTGCATTGCTATGCTTTTTTCCATCATGTTGCGTACAAACCCGATAATATTTCATTTAGTTTGAGTTATACTGAGCACATACGGATCTAAAGATTATGAACATGTTTATTCCTATATAGCCAGCGACCAAATTAGCTTTTTGAATTTACGTCATTTTAATTCAATATTTTATTATTCAACGAGCATAATGTGATGGATTTGTCGACAATTGGGAACCACAAAAGTATTTAATATTCATCTCTGGGATGCGCTTTAACTTTAAATAATTTGACTGTCCATTGCAGACATTTCCAACTTAGTATTGTACAGCTTGTATAATTTATTTATAAGGATTAATACAATATTATTGCTTCCTTCCTTCATTCATTCAGTCAAGAATATTACGAAGTAAACATTTTGACTGACGTTAATAATAAATTCACTTTTCTAATATTCAATTCTAGCTCTAGAGCAGACTTCTTGCTTCTTTTTTGGACATGAATTTTTAATCATTTTGTCAAGATTCTTATTTTACAAGTAAATTTCTTTTTGTACGTTAAATTTAAGGAACTTGCTTATCGTGACTTAAGAATCTTGGTGATCAATCCTCGATACTCAATAATGAGCATTCAGTAGTTTGCACGTGTTTATTTAAAATTTCCACACGTAAAACATGGTTTTAGAATATAAATTCTGTCGTTTTCGACACAGACAAATTTGTTGAATTAAACGTGGATCATTATTTTATCGATAAAGGAAAATACCGTGTGTTTTTTTTTTATATGTGAGAATTCAAAACAAGCATCGATTTTAATTCAATACATGATTGAACTAATCACTTATAAATTCAATATGTCATGCACTCACCTCGTTGGTGTTGTCACTTGACTAGAAAATGGATCATCATTGGCATCATAAAAATCTTCTTCCCCTTCTGAGCTTGAATATGAAGTCTCTGGCACTTGAACTGAAATAATTTGATGTGGGAATATTATGAGCGTGTCGCATAGTCATTTATTATCGGTAATTTTCATCGAATAACAATTAGAATTGTACTTTTCATCATCAATATTGTTTCCGTAAGTGCCATCTGTTTTATATAAAAATTTCTAATTAACAGCTGATGTGTCAGTTCTATTTTAAATATATAATCAACACAATCAACATTTTTACCGGTTTTCAAAAATTCAAATTCCGTTAAATTCTAACATTGATGATGATAAATACGGAAAAATAGTAATAGCCATAAAACAATAACTACCACTCGATCTACTAGAGCAAGCTTCAAAATATTCAGAGCCAATTTCATCAACCAGTTTCGAGATTTGTCTCACAACAACTAAATTACAAAATTTTAAAACAGATAGACAAGAATACATCGTTATTCACCTGCCAATTCTGGTGGTAAATTTAAAACACACAACCAATTACCTGGACTTGCTGTATCATCTGGATCCGTCTTCATGGGACCGTTATAAATTCCATTTATTGGATTCGCTGTATTCTGTAATATCAGCAATATTTAGATTATGAATGGTTGACTGCTGTTGAGTTCCTTACCTTAGCAATTTGCAGAAGCACAATTGAGTGTTTTATATGATCTAACATATTGTTAATTTGTTCTTTTAAACTTTCGTATTTTCCTTGTTCGTCTTCGTCCTCGATTTCTTTAATTCGTTGCTCTATTTTATCTTTTTGTTCGATAACCATTTGCAAGTACATATCAGCTTCACTGACTTTCTTGTCAAACATCACAAGATGAGTGTTGCGGCTACTCGAAGCACCACCGAGTACTTGTGCCTGATCCGAACGATATCTATACGTACTACGAGCAATTGCATCCTCTAAATGGCGAACCCATTTTTCACGTTCTTCACCATCTTTTGCCTTAATTTGTTATTCGTTTGCGGGACATTAAAAAAATAATTAAAATAATTTGCATTTCAAATTTAAATTTCACATTGTTGCAGGAACCAACTTACTTGGAAGTGAAATGTTTTATGATCAACAGTAATTGTAAATGTATTTACGTCTTGGTCATCGATTCCAATTATAGCACCTCTTAAACGGACACAACCTCTTCGTACACCTTTCATCATTTTTTCTCGACTCTATAAAATATAGGAAAAGAAAGAGGATATAATGGCTTGCGTGACTGCATGAGCAATTGTTAGAATAAATGAATAAAATAGGATATTTCTCTACAATTTGACTTTAATTAAATTCTTATGCTTCGAGCAACAAATACCTAGCTGCATAGAATGATAGAAATAATTACAATAATATATGCAGCATTTCAAGCTTCATGCATGCACTTGTTGAAGAATATTGTGCAGTCATTTGATACTGCTTACCAACGGCCATTTTAAATTCAAAAATTATGGCGTATGAGCTATTTCATAGCTTAAAAAATCAAATATTTTATGACAGTTATATTTTTAAAAAAAATTCGACTGTTACTTTTTTATGCTTCATCATTTACTGGACACGTTTTATATAGTTTCAACTTTAGTATTGCGTCAGAAAGTCCCAAAAGCAGGAATAAGCAGTTGAATACCTTCTAACTTTAGTCTTTTTCCTTCATTTCACACAAAAATATAGCTTTAAAAGTGACGATTTCAAAAAATAAAATTAAAATAAGGTCAATTGAAATTATTGTAAATATCGACAGGTCATTGCTGCGAAAAATAATATATTGTCAGTTAATTTCTTTATTTTACAGTATTTAGTTCTTTCTGAGCCATTTAAACAATCAGTTTAGTGCTAAGTTTCTAAGAAGAAGAAGACAGAAAAATGACGAGAAATCTCCTTTTTGATCCTCTCATTTGTGTCAAGTCATTTGATCAAGATTTGGAGAAATTCGATCCACATCAGTTGCCATTTATGAGCTCAATATGGCCTACACTGATCATATCGTGCATTTATCTGATTTCTTTAAGAGTCAGTGAACGGTAAATGAGTGAATTGAAGTGAAAATAGTGTAGTTAATGCAATTAATGATTTAATTTTAGAATGATGCAAGCTCGCAAAGCATTCCAATTAAAAAGTTTTCTAGCCATGTACAACATAACGCAGGTCGTATTTTGTGTATATTTCCTTATCAACGCGTTCAACGCTGGATTGAAAATCGATTATTTATGGAAGTGCTATTTGCCTGGCTATAATAATTTACCGCATGCAAAACTTTTATATCTGACATACTTTATCAAGGCATTAGAATTTATCGAGACTATTTGCTTTATATTGAGAAGAAATTTTCGTCAAGTTTCATTTCTTCATGTCTATCATCACGTTTCCACGTTCATTTTTGCTTACTTAGGAGTTACTCTTGTTGGAAGTAAGCTCAATTGCATTGCTCTATATTTTATGAACAACTAATATTAAAAGTCACATTTTGTCTAGTCTAAACTAGGACTTGTCTGTGTGCTTATAAGCACTGAGTGATTCTGTCACTTAAATACTGTTTGAACCTTATTATACAGACACGTGTTAGCCTATATGGTTAAATACAAATCGTCTAAATATTCAGACATCCAAAAATTTCCAACCAGACAATGCCTAGATCTTATAGGATGTCTAACAAGACACCAATCAGAATCACTATCACTAATTACTCATAACTTTTAATTCTAGATGGAATGGTTATGGCTACATATAGTCTCAATATGTTTATTCACGCAATCATGTACTCGTACTATTTTGCATCACTTTTCATGCGGGAAAATCAGTTTGTGGCTGTAAAAAAATGTATAACAATCATGCAAATGGTAAGTCAATCAAATGATCAAAAATTAATATTTTAAGAGATCCAGTTTGGAATTTAGCCAATAATTTATTGTTATTCTCTATGTTCGCAGGTTCAATTTTGTTTGATTCTATTTAATACACTAAGATCATGGCAAACGGATTGCGGAATTGAAAATAAATTTTACTATATATTCGTACTGAATGTAGTTATCATATTTTATCAGTTCTATCAATTTTATAAAATTGCTTACTCCGCAAAGAAGCTCAAAAATCAAAAGAAGAGGAAAAGCTTGAAGACATAAGCTTTATCTGCAAATATTGATTAGTTTAAGCTTATATTTTTCTTTGGGAGTTAACGTCAATGATACTTGAGCATCGAATTTGCTTTAACTAATTTTTAAAGCCTTTATCAATTTGCCGAGACAACAAATTACAGTAATAAGCAAAATGATGATGATAAGTTATCTCTAGTTATGATTTTTTGTGCAAAAAGAAATGAATAAAGTACTTAAATTTGTACATCACATAAAATCACTATGAATCATCATTAATTAAAAAGCTCTTTTCAGATATTACAAATAGACATAAGGAACGTCATTTTATCTACAGATTAGTGACGTTTATGTATTATGAGCTGCACATTTTTATGTTAAATTGAAGAATCAATTTTTATTGTCCAAAATTACTCACTGTATAATAGGATAATAAGCTTATTTCAGGTTCCAGCACAAACCATCTTGTTTGCCATCCTTTTACCATATTTATCCATTTGAATAAACTTCCTTCTAAACCAGACATTGTACAGCATAAATTAATTAACACTGATATTTGATTTTTTTCACGAATAATATTTTTTCCTTAAATCAGAAATAAAAACAAAAACACGAATGACGTAAACAGCTTTTAACTTCCACACTAATATTCTTGAGCAAATGTTCTTGAACAAAGAATAGTCCTAGCTTTAAAAGTGCTGTTACGATACTAGATAATAAATGATACTTTAGAATGTTTGATGACAAGTCATCTAAAACAATCTATGAGTGTATTAAATTATTAAAGCATTTACGTGGAAGTTAGGAATCTGACGTAAATGATGTTCTTGATTACCAAACCTCGTTTTCTCTTAATAACACAATGATTTTTGCGTAACTTAATTATGCCGTATGCACAGCTTTGAATGATGAATATTAAGCTGCATCAATAGTTAATTCCATGGTTATGATCGCCAAATGAATAAATTTGGTTTATCTGTCACCCGGACTTTTTAAAGTAAATTTTTGAATTTTTTTTAATCGTTATGGTTTGCTGTAAATGATGACAATTTGACAAAAAGAAATTACTAAAGCTAAATATCCTAAACTGTAGTTTAATTATAATAAAATTAATTTGACTTTCTTTAAAATTAACGATTTATCACTTTAATAAAATGGAATAATTTTCAAAAGCTAGACATTGATAGATCTACCGGAATTTTGAATTTCTTACATTCGTTACGATTTGAAAAGTTCGTGTTCTCATATTACACCTTATCAAAAGTCATTTCATATTCACACAAAATTTTCAATTTTTCGGAAAATCAGTTTTTTTTTAACTTTCTGCTTCAAGCTTACGGAATCAACCTGATATGTAAAAGTTTGTGCCTCGAAATACCTATCTAATGGTGAAAACAATTTTTCATTTGGCAGTTCCAGTTCCGAGAAATCGCAAAAAAAGGCATTCTGTTAGTTTATCGGTGCGATAACTCGATTCAAACTCAATATTAAGACTTCCGTTTTTTTGCTTCTGATAGATAATGGCTATCGCAAGAACTGTATCGTTTTTGGAGTCATAAGATGCTTCCAGTGAGGCACAAGATGCATAAACATTTTTGTATGGAAAAAGTTTAACCAATTATTACATAACATATTTATTTTTTGTTTACAACGGAAATATTTGTTGGTAGTAGTTTGATATTAATAAAATGGTTGTGACAGTATGCATTAAGTTAAATGTATGTGAAAAAATGTTGGAACTAGCGAGTTCCTTCACAAGATTCAGCTTACTGGATCTATGTTATTGAATACATACTTTACTTGTATCATAATGGAAATATGTTTTTGGTTCCAGCATAGATTTTTTTCTTGCTGTATACTTACTGGATCTTGGTTCCAACGATAGCACAATTTCAATTTTAGTAGACTGGATTTAATTTTTAATGACAAATTAAATTATTTAACCAATTTTTCACAATGATCTCTCAATTTCAACAAATTGTCAAAGTTCACTTAGAACTTTTTCTTATTTCTTTATTATAAAAAAAAATTTAAATTGAAATTGTCAAAGCCCACTTAGAACTTTTTCTCAAATTTTACTGAATCATGGTTTTAAGTTTCAGACATGCTTAAAAACTTTACTGGATCTAGGTTTATTGTTTTAGACATGATTAAACCTTTACTGGATCTTGTTTTCAAGCTTCAGACATGATTAAAACTTAACTGGATCTTGGTTTTAAGTTTCAGACATGATTGAAACTTTACTGGATCTTGATTCCAAATTTCAGACATGATAAAGACATTACTGGATCTTGGTAATTTGTTGCAGACATAATTAAAACTTTACTTGATCTCGTTTTTAAGTTTCAGACATTCTTAAAACTTCACGTGATCTAGGTTTATTGTTTCAGACATAATTAAACCTTTACTGGATCTTGTTTTCAAGCTTCAGACATGATTAAAACTTAACTGGATCTTGGTTTTAAGTTTCAGACATGATTGAAACTTTACTGGATCTTGATTCCAAATTTCAGACATGATAAAGACATTACTGGATCTTTGTAATTTGTTGCAGACATGATTAAAACTTTACTTGATCTCGGTTTTAAGTTTCAGACATTCTTAAAACTTTACTGGATCTTGGTAATTTGTTGCAGACATGATTGAAACTTTACTGGATCTTGGTTTTAAGTTTCAGACATGATTTAAACTTTACTGGATCTTGATTCCAAATTTCAGACATGATAAAGACATTACTGGATCTTGGTAATTTGTTGCAGACATAATTAAAACTTTACTTGATCTCGTTTTTAAGTTTCAGACATTCTTAAAACTTCACGTGATCTAGGTTTATTGTTTCAGACATAATTAAACCTTTACTGGATCTTGTTTTCAAGCTTCAGACATGATTAAAACTTAACTGGATCTTGGTTTATTGCTTCAGACATGATCAAACCTTTACTGGATCTTGTTTTTAAACCTCAGACATAATTAAAACTTAACTGGATCTTGGTTTAAAGTTTCAGACATGATTTAAACTTTACTGGATCTTGATTCCAAATTTCAGACATGATAAAGACATTACTGGATCTTGGTAATTTGTTGCAGACATGATTAAAACTTTACTTGATCTCGGTTTTAAGTTTCAGACATTCTTAAAACTTTACTGGATCTTGGTAATTTGTTGCAGACATGATTGAAACTTTACTGGATCTTGGTTTTAAGTTTCAGACATGATTTAAACTTTACTGGATCTTGATTCCAAATTTCAGACATGATAAAGACATTACTGGATCTTGGTAATTTGTTGCAGACATAATTAAAACTTTACTTGATCTCGTTTTTAAGTTTCAGACATTTTTAAAACTTCACGTGATCTAGGTTTATTGTTTCAGACATAATTAAACCTTTACTGGATCTTGTTTTCAAGCTTCAGACATGATTAAAACTTAACTGGATCTTGGTTTATTGCTTCATACATGATTAAACCTTTACTGGATCTTGTTTTCAAGCTTCAGACATAATTAAAACTTAACTGGATCTTGGTTTAAAGTTTCAGACATGATTTTAACTTTACTGGATCTTGATTCCAAATTTCAGACATGATAAAGACATTACTGGATCTTGATAATTTGTTGCAGACATGATTAAAACTTTACTTGATCTCGTTTTTAAGTTTCAGACATTCTTAAAACTTCACGTGATCTAGGTTTATTGTTTCAGACATAATTAAACCTTTACTGGATCTTGTTTTCAAGCTTCAGACATGATTAAAATTTAACTGGATTTTGGTTTATTGCTTCATAAATGATTAAACCTTTACTGGATCTTGTTTTCAAGCTTCAGACATGATTAAAACTTAACTGGATCTTGGTTTATTGCTTCAGACATGATCAAACCTTTACTGGATCTTGTTTTTAAACCTCAGACATGATTAAAACTTAACTGGATCTTAGTTTTAAGTTTCAGACATGTTTGAAACTTTACTGGATCTTGATTCCAAATTTCAGACATGATAAAAACTTTACTGGATCTTGGTTCCAAATTTCAGACATGCTTAAAACTTTACTGAATTATAATAATTTGTGGCAGACATGATTAAAACTTTACTTGATCTCGGTTTTAAGTTTCAGACATTCTTAAAACTTTACTGGATCATTGTAATTTGTTGCAGACATGATTAAAACTTTACTTGATCTCGGTTTTAAGTTTCAGACATTCTTAAAACTTTACTAAATCCTGGTAATTTGGTGCAGATATGATTGAAACTTTACTGGATCTAGGATTTAAGTTTCAGACATGATTGAAACTTTACTGGATCTTAATTTTAAGTTTCAGACATGATTGAAACTTTACTGGATCTTGGTTTTCAGTTTCAGATATGCTTAAAACTTTACTGGATCATTGCAATTTGTTGCAGACATGGTTAAAACTTTACTTGATCTCGGTTTTAAGTTTCAGACATTCTTAAAACTTTACTAAATCCTGGTAATTTGTTGCAGACATGATTAAAACTTTACTTGATCTCGGTTTTAAGTTTCAGACATTCTTAAAACTTTACTAAATCCTGGTAATTTGGTGCAGATATGATTGAAACTTTACTGGATCTAGGATTTAAGTTTCAGACATGATTGAAACTTTACTGGATCTTAATTTTAAGTTTCAGACATGATTGAAACTTTACTGGATCTTGGTTTTCAGTTTCAGATATGCTTAAAACTTTACTGGATCATTGCAATTTGTTGCAGACATGGTTAAAACTTTACTTGATCTCGGTTTTAAGTTTCAGACATTCTTAAAACTTTACTAAATCCTGGTAATTTGTTGCAGACATGATTAAAACTTTACTTGATCTCGGTTTTAAGTTTCAGACATTCTTAAAACTTTACTGGATCTCGGTTTTAAGTTTCAGACATTCTTAAAACTTTACTGGATCATTGTAATTTGTTGCAGACATGATTAAAACTTTACTTGATCTCGTTTTTAAGTTTCAGACATTCTTAAAACTTCACGTGATCTAGGTTTATTGTTTCAGACATAATTAAACCTTTACTGGATCTTGTTTTCAAGCTTCAGACATGATTAAAATTTAACTGGATTTTGGTTTATTGCTTCATAAATGATTAAACCTTTACTGGATCTTGTTTTCAAGCTTCAGACATAATTAAAACTTAACTGGATCTTGGTTTAAAGTTTCAGACATGATTTTAACTTTACTGGATCTTGATTTTAAACCTCAGACATGATTAAAACTTAACTGGATCTTGGTTTAAAGTTTCAGACATGATTTTAACTTTACTGGATCTTGATTCCAAATTTCAGACATGATAAAGACATTACTGGATCTTGATAATTTGTTGCAGACATGATTAAAACTTTACTTGATCTCGTTTTTAAGTTTCAGACATTCTTAAAACTTCACGTGATCTAGGTTTATTGTTTCAGACATAATTAAACCTTTACTGGATCTTGTTTTCAAGCTTCAGACATGATTAAAATTTAACTGGATTTTGGTTTATTGCTTCATAAATGATTAAACCTTTACTGGATCTTGTTTTCAAGCTTCAGACATGATTAAAACTTAACTGGATCTTGGTTTATTGCTTCAGACATGATCA